TTAGAGAGTATGAAAACTTGACCATAGTCTATTATTTCAGCTGGGGTCACAAAGCCTAGTATAGAATCACAGGATCACTATGGTAGGAGAACACCTCTATTCATCCAGTCCAATCCCAACCCATCCTTACCATGCCCACTGACCATGTCTCTCAGTGCTGCAAAGTAAAAAGGTTGGTGCACGTTAATATGGCATTGAAAAGTTAATCACAGGTTTTAACCAGTTCCCTTAAGTGTGAAGACTCAATACATTGGGAATTTTACTCAGATCCTTCAGCAACGTTGCAACTATGGGACCATGTAATGACTTACACCAGAGAATTCTCTGCAATGGTTGCCAAACACATCTTCAGGATTTCAATTAGAAGTCCTGTGACTTTCAGCTGAAAGGAGTAGCCAAAACATTCTGTGCCGCCAGAGGAGGGGAAATGCTTCAATGCATCCAGTTGGAAATGATTTTCCTTTAGTTGAAAAGTCGCCCTGATGAAGCCTTCATTAGGAAGGGCTGAAGCAGCCAGGAGCAGGTCCTGCTCAAGGAGCTCAGCATGAGCATGTGGGGGCTGGACAATGCCACGCTCAGAGGCTGTGTATGAAGGCTGAGAAACTGGATGGTAAATTGCAGAACCTTGGTGTAATCCCCTTTTTGCTTTTTAATAACCTTTGGAAGCAGTGGGAATTGTGGCAATGCAGAGGGTACGTCTGAATCTCAACAGGACATAAAAACTGAGGCAAAATATCACACTAATATGGCTACACAGAATTACTGGAACATGCTGCTGTCTATTAAGTGCAGAGCAGAAGGTGAACAAGCTTGGATGTGTCTGCCAATTCAGAAATGCCTGTAATTAGATCTTATCAGTTACTTAACATCCTACTTCTGTCTATATTTTGTTTACATTAAGAAACCAATTACCTCATTACTAGCCAGTACATGTCAAGCAAATACAACATAATATGGTCCTGTATTTAAAAAGTGTAATAACTACAAATAACTACAATTAATTCTTGCCAGGTTTCAGAAAAGGTAAATAAGAGTCTTTCTATGACACACAACATTTCAGTGAAACAAGTTATCATATGAAGCATTAATATTCAGAAGCTCTGACCAGAAGTGTTTCTGAGCATAATGCAGCAATGCATTTAAATGTGAGTTTAAAACATACAAAGAATTTCAATGGCACTGATGGAACTATCCATTTATTGAAAGCATATGCTCTGCAGCTTCTATCCAAAACTCCATCCCAGACCTTAGATTAGTCCTTTTCCACATGTTATCAAGCCCCTAATATATGCTTATTTTCTCTTTTCATTTGTTTTCTGGTCAAAAACAGTCACTAAGGGTAAAAAATAATTAAACTGGAAATACCTATGGCCATTAAAATTACACTACAGGAAAAACTTCCAGAACTTTTTTATTGCATCTCTTCCATTTTAGCACAATACAACCCAAACAGCCAATACTCAGCACTGCATCTGCTTCAGCAGCTGAAGGTTTGAATACAATCCCCTCTTCACTTTAAGGGACAAAGTGATTTTGATACAGAATTCTGCAGTGTTTCCAGTGAGACCTTGTGCAACGTCTGCATACCTCCTGTGCTCTTAGTGCTTCATTACTGGCTGGAAACTGGATTAAGAGGTCACTGGATGGTTAGCCTTCAAACGTTTCCATTAAAGGCTCACCCTCACCCTTGAAATCTACCATTTCATCCTTGTTTCTACCGTTGTAGAACCATTGTAGAAACAAGGACACGTTTCTTTATTCTAACCAACAATAAATGTGTCCTAGGCAGCTGAGTGATGGCAAACAACCTGAGAAGCTCAAGATCATTTAAATAGTCTGCTGAAATCTGTGAGGTGCTGTTATAAAAGGGAAAGCAGTGGGAACAACAGGCTACTTACATTCACCCTTGATCAAAACATGAAGTTGTATCACAAAAAAAGTAGCACAGCATTAGTAGGAGCATCTCTAAGGAGCTTTTGCAGAAGATGGAGCTATGGAAAGCAATATGACTGCATTTTACTAGCAGGCAAAAAGATTAGCATGTACAACACAGTACTGCATTTTACATTTAATTTTTACTGATGAATCTGCATGAATCTGGTGAATCTGGTGAATTACCACCAGTATTGGTAATATTCACTGCAAGTAGTGAGGTTAACCATAGGTTATTTACCAGGCTGCCCAGAGAGGCTGTGGATGCCCCATCCATCCCTGGAGGTGTTCAAGGCCAGGTTGGATGGGGCCATGGGCAGCCTGGGCTGCTATGAAATGTGGAGGTTGGTGGCCCTGCATGTGGCAGGGGGGGGTTGGAGCTTCACAATTCTTCAGGTCCCTTCCAAACCAAGACGTTTTATGATTCTATGATTCTTTCCTAGGTATTTTTAAAGAAAAGGGATCATTCCCAGTGACAACTGCTTGAGTCTTGTCCCTGTGCAACCACAATTAAAGGATTAAAGAATGTTTCTGCAGAAGAGATTGCAGAGGCACTCTCTTGCTAAGGTGGAGTCAGAACCACTACTCCTAAAAATATTATATCTGTATTATATCTGTATTTTCCCCCAGCCTACAGAGTCCTAAAATACAAAGAACTTGCTGTTAAGAGGAACACACACGGATAGGATTAACAACAATCTCAGGACAAGATTTACTTACACAATATTTTTCTTTGAGCATTTCCTTTCATTCCCATTCACATGGGGACAGAAAACACAGTCCCTTTGGAGGCAGCAAAAATGAATTGCAGCATCCTTTTTCTATACCACTTATCAGAACGTGACGCCAATGCCAACAAATGACAACAATTATCATCAGAGTCATGTTTGTATACCGTTATATTTCAGGTCTAATAGTAAACCTAAGAACACGTAGGTTTTCCATTTATTCACAGCACAGATGGCAGCAGCATGAGTTTTCACCACCTATCCCAGCATTTGCAATCACACGTTTGTGGAAAATCTAGAGCAATTTAAAAATGATGGAAGCTATCAAGCTTGATAGCAGTAATGAAGGCTCCTTCAAGAAGGATTAAAATTAGGATACTTAATAAGATTTGGAGCTTTGCCAAGGAAATTCCATAGGTAGAATACTACTTCCTATGAAACGCTGCAAATGATGTACAGTCATACAGACAATAACAGCACTCATGCCCACACCCCCATCAACACTGAAAAACTGATCTAAGCATCAAAAAGAAAGTAAAGGAAGAGCTTTATAATGTAACTACTGACGACTACGTCAATATCAGATCGTACCAGAACTCTCTGACTCCACCTTTGTAGGAGTATCTCTACATCTATCTTAACCTTAGAACTCAAAACATAACAGAAAAGCATTTTCTACTAGTTCCAAACAATCTCCCATTCCACCACTCCAAGAATGTTTAGATGCCCCCCAAGTCCCCATACAAGGGAACACTGGCAGGAAGATGCTACTGAGTCAGAGGAAAACTAAAGAGTACTTGTAGAAGTTGTTATGATAACTGAATGGTGAAACCCACAAACCATTTCTCTTGTCAAACCATGTTACCACAACAACATTAGTATCACAGACAGGTTAACATTTATTATGATATTTTGAAATAATCGAATGAAAACATAATTCCAGGGTGACAAAGTAGTGCCTATGGCTAACTTAGACCTTTGAATACCCACAGGATTGCTAAAAATTTCAAATACAAACATACCTCAGTTGTTTGAAAACAGATTAAGATCATCAATTCATTCCAGATAGACTAATAAATTGTTATTATATAAGAACTGTCGAGCAGGGCTCAAGTTTCTAAATATCCATGCTATGACTTTTCTAAGTTCTTTTTATTTGGTAGTTCATTTCAGTGTTGAAGCTTTTTGCTGCTGTTAATAAATTTTGCCTAATTACTCAACAGAACGTGAAATTCATTTCATTATCTGTCTTGGAATCACTGCACACAGGTGTAAAATTGCCTGCTAATGCATGGTTACATATAGGCTGCATTTTTGTCTTTTTGCTACATCACACTGGACACTTATACAGCACTGCTTCCCTCCTTTCATGGGTACATCCTCCAGTTCTACAAATATCCTCCAGATGTCGTTACACATGTTGTCTGACAATATTTATATGTATTCTATTAGAATGGGCTCAGGTCAAAACCAGTGAGGACTGCTTTATATACCTGACCTGTACTAACTGTAATTCATGGCTCCATCAGGCTGGATGATGTAGGAAGTGTATAAAGGAATATCAAGATTTACTTCAACATCACAGATGGATAAATATTTACTGGAGTGCAATAAATTTCCTAAGGTGACTTTGTACCATCCTGTAGGAGCTAGTAAAGAATTATATCCTTTCTAAACAACCCAATCTTACTGTTCAAAACACATTTAGGAAATTTTTTCATTCTCTGCAGCAGTAACCTTTAAGAATAAATGCCATAGGAATCCACCTTTTTCTTCCCAAGTGAATTCCACAAATTCATTCTTAGAGACTAGGATTAGTACATTCTGACTATTCCCAGATTAAGTTGAAGTCCGTGTCTTGCTTAACAAAAAAACTAGCTCTGTTGTCTCTCAATAGGAAATCTACAGGATGACTCACAAAGTACAAAACAGGTTTGGTTTGGGGTCACACAAATGGAAAAAGATCTGCAAGCACAGTAGATAAAGCTTTCTACCCAACTGAGATCTATGCACAACCAAAGTTCTGGAAAGTCAAAGATCATCTTCAGAGTTTTGTTCAAACTAATGAAAAATCCGACAGGACCTGACTTACATAGAAACCTACTATTTGTGAATTTGTATGAAACAAAACAGGACATTAAATATTCTGCTTGTATAACCCAGCAAAATGCTTCTAGTATGCTCCTTCTGGGGCACGGACATCTCCCAAAACCATCAGTGGCTCGAGCTGATCGTAGTGATAAGAAAATGGCTACGGCAGCCCAGATTCTGAACTTGCCCAAAAATAAGATATTTAACGCAATACATCTGAAAGCTTTAATTCCAAAGCTGATGCCTTACCAAATATAGCCATCTGTGTTCCCTCTGGGAAAGGTTCTACCATTCTGTTTCCATTGACATGATGTTTATCTAGAAGGGAGAAGAAAAAAAAAAGTAAAAATGTAACAGAACATAACACTTTCCATGACAACACAACTGTTTTTACTCAGAGTTCTATTGACACCTGACGTCTGATTTATCAAAGCTCTCCTGCACAACTCTCCAGTAACTGGGACTTTGTAGCCTCTGAGCCTATTTCTCAAAAGCACAGCCCTCTACGGACCCCAGGACATAAAGTGGAGCTGAATTCCAATGTTAAGTCAGCTAAAACCACAGTAACGCATGCATGCAGAGCACCACGCATCAACACTGACTGTTACAGGTATAGCACTGATCAGGCAAGCAGACAAAGCAGGGATAAACTAATTCTCTGTTGCTGCTAGGACATGGTGCTCCTTCACAACAAGTTTTTCAGTGTGATCATGCATGAATCCTAGATGCCTACCTGGAGCTGCAGCGTAACTTACATTGGGGAAGGGCATAAAGCAGAAATACTATACAAATAATGTGCATAAAAGCTAAATAAGGACTGATATTCAGTCTTAAGGAACACAGTGCATGCAGAAAAGTGTATATGGACAGCACCGATGGTGCACACAGGGGAGTTTCTATGCAAGACAATGGTTGAAGCTCGCTTTGCTCCCTTTGAGACAAGATGGCTAAGAACTGCTCTGTTTCCAAACTTCTAAATGAAATATTCCTTACATCCCAACATACTTCTCTTTCACTCGTCTCCTTAGCATAAGGAAAATTCAAGTCCTTGTGATATCATAGGTTTATAATTATTACTCAATCAAGACTGTATGTAGAACCAGGAACAGAGCACTTAAAGCCCCAGTTAAAATACAAAGATCCACACCAAAATATTCTCAGTTTTTTTCACTGCCATTTTCACATTCATTTCCTAATCACACTCTTCTAAGAGTCATTGCCAAGACTGGTGGAAAGGATTAAAATCATCTGAACTGACAATACAGGTTTCTGTCCACAAAACACATTCCAGGGAGAAAGCCAAGAGATTTTCTCAGTATTATATTTCTCCCTTTGGTACAGAATCTGGTGTGGAATAAAACAGGTCAAAAAGAGAGCACAGGACTGCCTTGCAAACTCCCTGAAAGCAATATTTTTGATTAGCAGAGAGGCATAACACAGTTCTAATCCCAGCTGGCATCAAACATTTATCAACAGGCAGTGATGGGGGGAAGCAGGGTTATCTGCAGTTGGTGCAAGAGGTCCCATGAAGACAATTGCTTACATTTAAGGAGATTGAATGCCCTGTGCCACGCAAGTCAAGAGAAGGGCTGAAAGGAAATTGTTAGGAGGCTCCAGAGGGGTAGTAACACGGCCAGTGCAACACGAGGTTTCCACCTTGTTAGCCATAGCTTGCATTACAAACATGATCTATAGCCATCTGAGATGGGCAAACAGTCGGGAAAATTATGAAACATCACGCAAGATCAAATAAACTAACCCTGCCCTGGTCCTGATAGCTGCCTTCATTTAAAGAGTGAATGACATACATGATGTATGATGTAGTTCTCAATTCAAATGGTAAGCTTTCAATATATTAAAATTAGTATTAAACTTTTAGAGGTGAATAGGGCTTGAAAGAAAATGTTTTCAGACTTCTCAAGTCATTCTCCAATGTAGTTTCGAAGATCAGAGCTAGATCAAATAATTAATTTCCTTAACATTTATATTTTATTTTACATTTTTTAGCGTTCCCTGCCCTCTGCCTACGTGCATTAAATAGCAGAAAAATAAACAAAAATAAACAAAATTTACAAGGGTTTCCACAAAGCACAAATTCTACCTTAGGAAGCAACAAAATACATATCGGTATAAAGATTTTCTCAACAAACACACTATTCAAACAATATTGCAGTTTGGATTTTTTACTGTTTAATTCTCCTTTACAAGTTGGATCGAGGTGCCCCAGAAAATCAGCCAAACCTTGGCCCCATGGAATTAGAAAAAAAATCTGACAGGTTTCCCATAATTTGCCAACAGAAACAATATATTGCATTTTCAAGTCATTGTCATCCCAGAGGCGCAGGTTTACAGCATATAAATTAGAAACTACAGAGGCTAGCAGTGAACATACGGCTGGCTATGAAAGTCAACTTCAGCTTCCTACTGGTGAAAAGTTGGTCTTACCTTAATACAGTTGGTATTTTAAGTGGTAATGCCTCAATGGACTACAGAGCCTTCAGGCACTTGGAAAAGATGAGTTGGGAGGACATGGATGGCTTATAACATCATCATGATCCTCTTGACCCTTATGATTTCAACAGAAAGCTGATTGGTAAAGGAAAACTTTTTCTTAGAATTGATATTCAGGCTGATGGCATTTTTGTCTACATAATTTCTCAGTGAAGCAATGTGGAACTTCCCCTCAAAATTGCCAAATGCTGCTCTAGTCTCAACAGCAGGAATTCTCTACCATTTTTCAAACTAAGTCTAAGAGATATCTGCAACATACAGTGCTCCCTGCTGAACAGAAATAGCATGCACTGAAAGCAACACATATCCTGGAGGTCTTGACATTCAACTTTAGCTTCAGGCAAAATCTGCTGTAGAGATACACAGTGCTGGGCCCTTTCTCCTGAGATGCTCTGGACTTGTATGGAAATAATCTTTAGACTCCTTCTTTTCTGTCTGTGAAACAGCATAATATATGGAAAAATAATCAAAAGTAGCTCAGTAGAATAATCAAAAGTTGCTCAGGTCTGCAGTACTTCTTTAGCATCATTCAGTCTTTGAAGTCTAACACTGAACAGTTTCTAACATAGTCCTACAACTGTCCTTTGCTAAAGACTGACTGAACTCAAGTAAAGTTAAATGCATGGATTAGAAAGACAGAATGGCTCAGGTTGGAAGGGACCTCAAGGATCATCAAGTTCTAACCGCCCTGCTGCAAGCAGAACTGCCAATCACTAGATCAAGTACTGGATAAAGCTGCCCAGGGCCCCATCCAACCCTTGGACACCTCCAGGGACGGGGCATCCACAACCTCTTTGGGCAGCCTGTTCCTGCCCCTCATCACTCTTCCAGTGAAAAACTTTCCTAACATCTAACCCAAATCTCCCTTCCTCTAGCTTAAAACCATTCTCCCTTGCCCAATGACTATTTACCCGTGTAAAACATTGACTTTCCTCCTGTTTATAATCTCCATTTAAATATTAGAAGGCCATAATAAAGTCTGTCCACAGTCTTCTCCAGACTGAAGAAGCCCAGTTCTTTCAGCCTGTTTTCATAGGACAGGTGCTCCAGCCCTCTGATTACCTTTGTGGCCCTCCTCTGCACCCTCTCTAAAAGCCCAACACCTTTCCCGTATTGAGGGCCCCAATCTGGGTGCAATACTCCAGATGAGGCCTCACAAGGGCAGAGTACAGAGGGTCAATCACCTCCTCCACCATCACTACTCTGATGCAGCCCAGGATATCGGTGGCCATCTTCAAGGGCACACTGCTGGCTCATGAAAAGTTTTTCACCTACCTGGACTCCTAAGTCTTTCTCAGCAGGGCTACTCCCAGTTCTTCTCCTGCATCTGGGATTAAGTTGACCTAAGTGCAAAACGTTGCACTTCGCTTTGTTGAATCTCATTAGGTTTACAAGTGCCCACCTTCTGAGTTTATCAAGGTCCCTCTGTATGGCATCCCTTCTTTTTGCCATATCAGCTGCACCACTCAACTTGATGTTACCAGCAAAGTTGCTGAGGGTGCATTCAATCCCATCATCTGTGTTAAATAAAGATGTTAAATAAAGATGTTAAAGAGTACCAGTCACAAGACAGAACTTCGGGGGACACCGCTCATCATCAGCCTCCACCTGGACATAGAGTAACTGACCACAAACCTCTGGCTGCAATTTTCCAACCAGTTCCTTATCCACCAAATAGCTCACCCTCCAATTTAGGGGTAAGGATGGGGTGGAGGACCGTGTCAAAGACCTTGCAGAAGTCCAGGTAAATGACATCAGTTGCCTTTCCTTTGTCAACCCATGCTGTCACTCCATTATAGAAGGCCACCAGACTGGCCAGGCACAGTCATCCCTTGGTGCTGTGCTGGCTGCCTCAGATCACCTTCTCATCTCTTACGTGCCTTAACATGTCTTCTAGCAGGATCTATGTCATGATCTTCCCAGGTACGAAGCTGAGGCTCATCAATCTGTAGTTCCCCAGGTCTTTCTTCCTCCCCTTCTAATAAATGAGAGCGACTTTTCCCTTTCTGCAGTCACTGGGAACTCCACCTGAGAGCCACAACTTTTCAAGGGTGGTTCAGCATCCACACCAGCCAGCTCCCTGGGATGCACGCAGTCCAGCCCAATAGATTTCTACAGATTCAGCCTCATGAGGCAGTCTTGGAATTGTTCTGTCCTTACAGTGAGGGGTACTTTGCTCCCCTGGTTCCCACCCCGAGGTTCAGAAGTGTGAGGTTCAGGGACACGAAAAATATGAGAGCCCTGGCAGCCAATGAAGTCTGAAGCAAAGAACTCATCGAGTACCTCAGCCTTATCTGTTGTAGACGGTTCTCCTTTCTCATGTGTCAGGGGAGGTACACTCCCTTTAGCCTGTCTATTCTGACCAATGTACCTATAGAATCTCTTCTTGTTGTTTTTAATATCCCTCCCCAAGTTCAGTTCCATCTGTGACCTGGCTTTCCTAATCCTATCTGCGTATGTCTGGACAGTACCCTGTATTCTTCCTAGGTTGCACGTCCTTGTTTTCATTGCTAGTACTTGCCCTTCTTTTCCTTCAGTTCGACCAGCAGGTACTTGCCAAGCCATGCCAGTTTCCTGCCCCCTCTGCCTGCAACAGGCAATATCTATACTAGTATGCCATTAAAATAAACAAGTGCTATCTAGAAACTATTTGAGAGTGTGTTAATTAGCCTAACCAAAATCACATTATACCCTGTCTTAGCAATCTACCAGTATGGACAACCAAGTTCCTGTGCCTAGACCTGTTCTTGGGAACATTTTCATTTATTAGCATACACTTCAATTATCTTCACAGTTCCATGTACGTC